GATTCTTACAATTCATGGACCGTCCGAAAATTAATCATTTGTACTCTTTTCCTCCAACTCAAGTGAGTCTGCAATGGAGGCAAGGCAAGGGAGGGTCCGACACAGGCGAGAAGTAAACAACTAATAGCCTCAAGAACCACATGTGCCATTGATTTTTGTCGAGATTTCACCAGAAGCGTTAACTGTTATTCGGCAGAACCAGTGGCACACGTGGCGGAGCTCAGAACTAAACCAATGTATCGTGTGATTTTCATGGCTATTGGTTATTTTATGCCGCCCACTGTAGCTAAACCTGCGCTGCAGGCTCACCTCGGTACTGGAAACAACGTGTACGTAAGAGGGAAAAGTAGCAAAGAGGAAATGTCATTATTAAGCAGATAAACACCCTGATTAGGTAAAGAAATACAATACTAAATGGTTGTCATCATCACCAACTTCGGCGTTTCTTGCCATGATATGTGGCGTGGCATGGCCAGTTGTCCATGTTCGTTGCTACCCCACGCAAATAGACGTCCATCTTCAGCCACAGCTAACGAATGTGCACGACCTGCTGCTATCTAAAAAAAAAACAGAAATTAGTGGATGAAAGATAACTTTTTTAAGATGATGCATTTAAAATGATCAAAATGAAGAGAATTATTAACATACCTGTATCATTTCCACCCCTCCGCTGAATGAAACTGGGTATATCGTAAAACTGCCGCTACCACGACCTCCTCTGCCAAGCTGGCCAGCTTCGTTTCCACCCACGCTCCACATTTTGCCGTCATCAGCTAGTAACAATGTGTGCTTCTCTCCACAAGCGACGCTAGTTACAGCTGTCCCACTAGCGCCCAGTGGAGCTCCGACTGAAACATTTTTTCAAAAAAACCTGCACAGCTAAAATTCTGGAAAAGTGACATTGCTTGAAACCCACCTATCTGTTCAGGTAATTTTACACAAGCAGCACTTCGACTTCCAAGTCCCAGTTGGCCATCTTCAGATAAGCCACACCCTAACAACTCTCGTCGCATTCCTTGAAGAAGTACAGTTTAAATGCTTAGGCAGAATTTTAACTGCTCGAATATTGATTATGCAGAGGCATAAGCTTTTCTATTGAGTCCATATAAACAGGCTTTTACCCAGGGTAATGTGCAGCACCAACAAATGAAACGGTCGCGACACATCAAAAAAAAACAACAACTGGAAACTTACAGAAATTTTTAAAAAATTACGAGTAAATGGATTACAACTTAGAGGCACTGACTCGCATGAGAAAGGAAACATTGTGCCTCTAGGCTTCCATGTGTCAACAAGCTTCAATTTTGGGGAACATCAAAGCCATTATAGTATAGTTTATAATTTTCTAGAAACCCTCCAAAGCCATTTTCCAGGGTCATTATGAAAGATATCAAACTGAAAATCTTTCTATCCGGAATAACTCACGCAGTGTATCTCCCGTACCAAGTTGACCGTACTCGTTGTGACCCCATACATAAACTCCACCACCAGCAGATACAGCCACACAATGTCGACCGCCGGCAGCTACTATAATTCCATCTCTTCAGAAATGAGACCTCAAATAAAGCCTTCACCCCCACCTCTGACAATCGGGATACCCGTAAGTTGATTGACGATTTGAGGCGAATGTAAGATAGCTCCGTCGGACTGCTCACCCCATACAGCTACGACACCATCTGAATGAAAAGACAATAGGCTGCAAAAGCTGGATGAAAATGAAAAAGAAAAGTATTCAAAAGTCTAGCTTCAAATGCATATCAATCAAGGTGAGATGTGAAACCTTTACGAACTCTCTAGTAGCGCTATACAATGATGTGGTCCACAGGCAACTTGAACGACTTCCGTTAGCTCTGCTATTCGTCTGGAAGCAAACGGAATTTTTAAGCTCCGCAGAAAATGCAGCCTACTACCGTAATACTTTGTCAAGATTTCTTATGAATGAAAATACATGACCCTTACAACTCATGGACCGTCCGAAAATTAATCATTTGTACTCTTTTCCTCCAACTCAAGTGAGTCTGCAATGGAGGCATAGCAACACAGGCGAGAAGTAAACAACTAATAGCCTCAAGAACCACATGTGCCATTGATTTTTGTCGAGATTTCACCAGAAGCGTTAACTGTTATTCGGCAGAATCCAGTGGCACACGTGGCGGAGCTCAGAACTAAACCAATGTATCGTGTGATTTTCATGGCTATTAGTTATTTGCCGCCCACTGTAGCTAAACCTGCGCTGCAGGCTCACCTCGGTACTGGAAACAACGTGTACGAAGAGGAAAAAGTAGCAAAGAGGAAATGTCATTATTAAGCAGATAAACACCCTGATTAGGTAAAGAAATACAATACTAAATGGTTGTCATCATCACCAACTTCGGCGTTTCTTGCCATGATATGTGGCGTGGCATGGCCAGTTGTCCATGTTCGTTGCTACCCCACGCAAATAGACGTCCATCTTCAGCCACAGCTAACGAATGTGCACGACCTGCTGCTATCTAAAAAAAAAACAGAAATTAGTGGATGAAAGATAACTTTTTAAGATGATGCATTTAAAATGATCAAAATGAAGAGAATTATT